TGACACGTTCTTCATGCCAAAAGGTAACTTCAGAAGGTTATCGAAGACATTTACACCCATGTTGAAGCTATTCCAGAACCATGCCCGACTCCCAACGATCCATCTGACACGAATAAAACCGATGTGTTGTTCCTGTTGGACTCGTCGAATTCGTTCAACGAAAACAAATTTATGCATGCCCTCCAGCTCATCCTGGACACGGTCTCACATTTCCGAAATATCGGTCCCAATGGTACTCAGGTAAGAACTGATTCCCTTCTTGGCGATTGCGGTGAAGGTTTCGGTCAATGGAACTCATTCAGGTCTCGCTGGTGCAATACAACTCTGAACCATACCTAGAGTTTTCACTGAGGAAACACAACTGTAAGCAGTGGCTCATTGAAGACATTGCCGACACCGACTATATGCAGGTTAGAAAGTTAGAAGTAACGTAATAAGTAACGAAAGAGAAGAGAAGCAGACTGAGCCTGTCACATTTCTTTAAGCGATGATCGAATGAGTAATGTGTCTGAAAAGGTAAGTATAACCAGAAACTCTGGATTTTCGGAGAGTAGAAGAGAGCCTGATTGTGCAGCATTTTCGTTTCAGCGTGCTTCGCTTAACAAAAGAACATCCCGCGCAGTTCGGCTTAGTGGGAGCACAAATGGTACCTAGCAAACTTGTGCAGGCCAATTGCCAAGACCTGCAAATTTCCTTGACAAGGGGACTCACTTGCACCGTTTGGAGCCGTCAAAACATTATAGTTCTACGCAAAATGCCCCTCTTCTGAGCCGAACATTCAGCCCACTACATTTGGAGACCTTGGTGATCTCCAGCTGGGGGAGGGTCGTATCTGATCGCTGTTGAAAGGGAGGGGTCGCGTTCGCCTCTGCTTTCAGAAAAATGTTTTCAATCGTTGTTTCACTCGGCTTTTCCCCATATCAAGTGCGCTCTATACTCCTCCCCTCCCGCTCGGCGGCAGCTATTGAGGACCCTCGAACTTCGTAATATGCAGGACAGTCAAATATTCTGAGCAAAACACATGTATATATACATATACATACATAAAGAAAAATCATGAAACCTGAGAAATCGTTAAATTCTATATTTTTCATTCCTTGAATCAAGTGAATTTCATATTCGAGGGATATTAACAAAAGTGCTCTGATTTAGGGTGGCAGTATGCTTGGCAAAGCGCTTGAGAAAGTGTCTCGATTCGCCTTCACGAAGAATCGGGTACGGACTTTCGACCAACTAGCAACGTTTCTCTTCTTTATCTTAAATTTTCCATTCCGCCTGCCTATCCTTGCCATTTTAACTTTACTCAAACTTTGGATGGCATGAGAAAGTAATAACAATAAACATTTCGTTACAGGGAGATCGCCCAGATGCTGAGAATGTCCTGGTTATATTGACCGATGGACAATCAGACGATCGGATTCGGGAGCCAGTTGAGGTGGATTATGCAGATTTCTTGATGAAGAATCACCTCACTGATGTCCTAAAAATCGTCTTCCAGTGAAAACAAACAAAATAACTTCGCTTTAGGTGGCGGCAGAAACATAATTTGACGCGTGTTAGTGATCGCGTACCCCCTCGAAGCAAACCCGCAAGTATTCTATGGATCTGACTGGTACGTGGATTTCAGCACTTTTTACTTCTGTTGACGCTGAACTCTTTCTAGAGTTTAGACTGACTTACTTCAGGAAACATGAACAACGTCTTCCAACTTCATACCGACATCAAGAATAGCCTCTCGCACAAGCTCGCTGCACGCATCAATTCAATCCAAACAGGCACGTTTTATCCTTTGAATACATTTCCTTTCTTTCACCTTTAGGATCGTTGGGATAAGTGGGCGACGATCCCCTATGAATAGCGTTCCAGTTAGGCCTTTATCACGCTCTGTTGAGGCTTGTTGCCATTCAATTCGCGGGCAGAGCTGATCTGACCAATGGGGATATTTGAAAAGACATTGAAATTATATTATGAAAGGGATGTCGGGGCGAAAGAGGGCAAAAAATCGCTCAAAAACGGACGAAAATGGTTAAGTAGGAGATTCGGACGTAATCGGTCGTCTATGTTGGGCGCGCTGCCAAGGTAGGTCGATCAAGTACGTAATCAAGGAGTTAATAGAAGAGGACGAGTTGTCCGGCCAGCAAAACGCGTCGCATCGGCAGAGTGGTGGCTGGCAATTACAGCCGGTACGCCCCAATGGCAAACCGGCCGCGCCTAACGATCGGCTCCCAATCGTAATATGTCGCGCTTGGTGGGCGTGGCGAGCGACGCCGCGCCCGATAGACGAGTCGTCTTGCATGGTCGCATGAGAGTGAATGCGGAAGGGAAAATTTGATATCACCCGTCATGAAGTCTTGTCAATGCTTGAATTCGTATGAGCATCGCCGCTCCAATCGACAAACTGCACATCGAGAATTTGCCCGTTGACCTCAGCGAGTTGAATCTAATCCTGAATAACCAAGCCCTCACCCCTCCGGGTTCGTTTAGCTGGTACTGGGCTTGAACTGAATTATGCGACTGAATGACTTGAGGGCTTGCTTGATAAAGATTCAGATGTCCCGCTGATGGTGTAGAGGAGTGTGGCGCCATTTACCAGGCCCACAACCCGAAAATCAAGTTCGAGATCGAATTCCGCTCAAGTTAACTATGCCTCCCATCCCTTCTGGAAGGGTTTATTAGTTTCAGGCCAGTCTAGCGTGAGAACCATGCTGACTTGTACATCGGCAGGCTCACTGTGAAGGTCGAACTCTAATGCCGCTACAGCCCTAAGAGGAAGTAGAATCCGCGGTGCACTCAGCCAGTGCTTTACTTTTTATCTCAAAATCCGAACATATAGTAAGTTTGTTCCAGAGTTCTCTCCAGCCGATACAATTGAAGTCAAAGATAGTCATGGAATGATAACGATTGCTTTACCCACGGAAGAAGAGGAGCAGGAAGAGGAGAAAGAAGAAACAGAAGAGTTGCCAGCTGTCACAAATGGTGAGTGCTATGCATCCTGGAGAACAAGGTCATGGTCTTCAAGGCTCAGCAATGTGGGCGCTGCGAAATTACTACATCATCGACATGTTCTCTGGAACCGGGCTTGGCATGGGGTCTATGCAGTGCACCTGTGCCAAGCCAGTGAGGCTTGGTGGGGCACTAGAAAGGCACTCAAGCTTCTACAGGTTAAGCTCCTCGTGGAAGACTTGTAAGACTTCTGTGACGCCACTGTGACCCCCTTGTGCGCATTTTAGGGCAACACATTGGCAATGAACTAGCAAACGAAACAAGGCTCGTGGCAAATATGTCCCCTCTCATAAGTTGAGCAGCCCAAATATTTCAAGTACTCAGTATCAAGCTATCCGTTACAGGTAATGTGCTCAATGCGTCCGCCTACGATCTACGTACGTTCGATCTGGTTTCCGACAGGAACGCTCAAACGGCTTTGCCGTCAACGCTACAATTGCTCACCACTTGGGTGTTTCAGACCACTTGGGTTCAAGGTAAACAGACAGAGCAAAATTCAGAGACAAAAATACTAAAGTTTCTACCTTGCTTCAGATCAGCCTCAACGTGCCAGCTGGCTATGAAGGTGTGGCTTTGGTTAAAGGTCAGGAGGATAAGGAAGAATGCAGGAAGGTAATCTCTAGCCACACTAATAAGCAAGTTTTTTGATATCGAGGGTGCAGAAAAGGGCATCAGAAACCACTGAAAGCGCTGTTTCGTCATAAACGGTGTGCAAAAGCTTTCTGACGAAGCCTAAGGGGAGGGCTGGAGAAGTTCAGGGATGGGTTAGATAGTTTCTCCACCTTACAGCCCTTTCAACAGGCTCTGATAAAACACCTTGTCCATGTGGCTCACAACTGTTTCAAAATATTCTCGAGCACCATCAATAAGACTGGAGTGGCCTAGGTTGAGCTTAGTACTTGGCCAACGGCGAGACTCCCAACTGGGATCCAATAACTCAACCAAAACATGTGTTCTTGGTAAATCATAGAAGCAAAATAAGCATAGTTAAGAACCTCAGAACTTAACAGCTTCACATTCAGGACATTCATGGATTAGAAAGCAGTACTAACCTGACCGTAGGCTTCTTTGTCGCCTCAAAGTCGTGCGGTGTCACCCGAGTGAAATCGGTAAGTCATTTTCATTGTCACTTCAAATTCCTCTCCGGATTTTGTATTCTTGTAGGTGGAGCCAGCTGGAACTAATTACACGATGATATTGCATCTCAAACACCGCGTCCCCCTTGGTGACCGGTGGCGATCGAGCGTACCTCTTGCAGTGCTACATCGGAAAGCCTTCAGAAGACCAGGAGCTAACTGCGGATCTTGGCGTTATGAAGGGGTAAGAAATAGAAATAAAATAAATAAATGATAGATAAATAATAGAAATAAGATATAGAAAGAGTCTTGTATCGTTAACGTCACATTTGAATAAGGAATGTCTAAAAGTGTTTAAAAAAGCTTTTCCAACTAATAATTGCCCAGGAATAGTCCATGTCAAAAAGAGGCTCAGGGAAGAAACAAAAGAGTCCACAATGAAG